GAAGCCTTAATTGCTAATCAACTCTGGAGGGTAATTACCAAACCAAATCTCCAAAAGAGTACAGTTATTAAGGGTAGATATTTTGCTAACAAAGCGTTGTTTTAGGTTAGGGCTAGGAATGGGGACTCTTGGTTATGGAAGAGCTGGCTAGTAGCTAGGGATTCTCTGGGGTTAGGTTCATGATTGGGGATGGTAGATCTATGGATATTTAGAATTCACCTTGGATTCCGTTAAATAATTTAAACCCCTCTGCCATTTCCCTGGGCATAGACAAAAGCTAAAAAATGTGAGTGACCTAATGTGCAAAGAGGGAATAGATTGGGATAGAAACCTAATTCTTCAATATTTTGAGCGTAAAATTGCACGTGAGATCCTAAGGATTTCCTGTCTTCCCAGGGGATGGAGGACAGATTAGTTTGGCATTGGGGTAGATCAGGGAGGTTTCTGTGAAATCTGTGTGTGATGTGATCAAATCTAAGTCATGTAGTACCAAGGTAGAGAAGTAGAGCTACAGTTATCAGGGACAAATTCAGCAAGTGTGTAAGAGAGCCTGGAAACTCCCTGTCAATCAAAGAAATAAAAACTTTCTTTGGAAAAGTTGGTATTGGTTTCTGAGTTCTAAGGATCAAATAAAAAATAGGGATAGGTTGAGAGGTGATATGTGATCTATGTGAGGAGGGGAAACAAGATGTAAATCACATCAAAAGCAAAAGTCTGCTGGAGGATGTTAGGAGTCACCTGGGAAAGAATTGAGGGAGGGTATTTGGGTTAAATACTTGGTGGGTTGATATTTGCAACATAAGGGCTTGTATGGTGGCTTTTGAAAATTATGACGAACTGGGTGTTTCAAGAGAGGTGGTGGAATGTGGACAAGATAGTGAAGTGTGCTAGAAACAATTGGGCAGAGCTCAATGTGAAGTTTGATGATGTGAAAGAACAGAGGAGTGGGGAGTGTAGATCTGATAGGGCAGTGAAGGATGAGGTGGTGGGACTGATGACCACTTTATCATAACTGTGAGCATTTAGTCAATTAGTAAGGATATGCCTGGGTTTGGGGGATGAGCTTGTAGAGGTCTAAAGACTGATCTGGTGTTGGAAACATCTAGGGACTTCTCCGGGAGTTCAGTGGAGGCCAACATTTCTGCAGTCTTATGGGTACTGAGGAAGGCAACTGAACATCACCTGAGGAATATCACATGCATTCTGCACTGCAAGAAAGCTATTGACATTCTGAACAAATGGAAGAAGCATGTGGAGTCTGATGGTGATGATGCTTTGGATTTCCTTTCATTATGTCAGTTGTTCAGTTCATGTTCTTTCTACTTTGTTGATTTAGTTTGTAAAGTTAGTTTGAACTTGGTTATGAAGGCCCTAGAAGGAAATAGGTATTGATTTTCTGTGTTTGGGTGTTGCTCATTTTGTGTTGGAACATTTGGATATTGTACCCCAATTGGGTATCGGTGTTCTCATTTAAGTCAATAAATTTTATTGTTTGTCGTTGGAAAAGAAAGAGTAACTCCCTTACATTAATGATAGAATAACATTAATAACCTCAGAAAGTAGCTATAGTGTTGGGCGTGGAATTTCTATGGATTGCGTTAGGAGAAATCTACCCAAGCTAGGCAGATAGATTGACTCTTTTTCTGCTGTTGATGGCGAGCAAGAAAGAAAATCCAATGATTTGAACCCCTCTCTTATAAGGTATGCAGGTACTAAGAGTCTTCTCCCTACCAACCAGTAGACATCATCTAGCTGGGTTTTGCCGGTATCAACAACGAGAAAGAAAGAACCAAATGGAAACAACAGCTAACTATGGCTCTTGGCCCAGACAACGTCCTAAGTGTAGGAGAGATTTTATGACTTCGCTTCGCTTCGCTTTGTTGCTAGTTTCTAGCCAACCGAACAGAGAATGTAGCCAGCCAAGTGATTGTCGGGCAGGTGTGCGAAACCGACTGAGCTGGTCTATGAAACCCTGCCTTTCTAAAATAAACCTTTTCAATTCTTCTTTAACCCACTTCCTTTGACATTCTCCTGGAAGGCTACTTATACGGCCGATGCCCATTTTGATCTTTAATTGGGAGTCTATACTTCGCGTTCGATCCAAGCCCGACATTTCACTGTAATCCCAAGCAAAGCAATCTCTATACTCTCTGAGAAATTGGCATTTTTGGCAAATAAAAAATTTCAAGAAACAACTCTCCCTTATAAAAGAGTTATAGATAGATGTCAAGAATAAGAAGTACGGAATGAAATGAGTGGTCATGAAGTACGGTCACTGGCCAGCTCGTCAACGTACAGAAGAGCTTCTTCATCCTTTCCCCTCACATTGTCGATCGGTGGGCGGAGTGGGTCCATGAGCGCACCGGATTCGCGCGTGGCAACCTTCCCATCACCTATCTGGGTGCTCCTTTGTACAAGGGTCATCTGAAGAACACGTTCTTCGTAGATGTTAGGCAAAGGATGATTAACCGACTCTCCGGCTGGTCTCATAGATACCTTTCTTTTGGGGACCGGCTTGTGTTGATCAGGGTCACCCTCAGCTCCATTCCACTTCATCTCTTTATGGTCCTCGATCCCTCTCAGTCCACTCTCCACAAGTTAGATCATATCATGGCTCGCTATTTCTGGGGACACAGGGAAGGCTCCCAGAGAGGGAGACAGGTCCACTGTGTGAAGTGAGACTGTTTGTTGGCCTTTTTCCAAGGGCGGCCTTGGGATCCGCTACTTATCGAATGTAGTCACCGCCTTCTCTTATAAGTTGTGATGGCGCTTCAGGGAGGGAAAGTCCTTTTGGGCTCAGTACCTTCGGGTGTAGTACTGCCCTAGAGGTGCACTGTGCTAGTCACCCCTGTAGGGTGACGGCCACAGTTCGTGACAGTAGACAGTGGAGGTAGCTCACCAGGGTAGGTAGGCGCGCTTAGGAGCACATCTTCTGGACACTAGGTGAGGGGGATGTTAGCTATTGGGACGAGTAGTGGTTTGGTGAGGGTCCTTTATCGAGTACTAGGCAGGTCACTCTCTCCTCCTTTTTGCGGGTGAAGGATCTATGGTCTGACACAGTTTGAAAAACATACAGCAATTCTGTGTACCAACACAGTTTAGTGCACTCTCTATTATATATTCACGTTTCAAAAGTTAACTTAACGGTGTATAGAGTCGGTGAGTGCGTGAGTCCAAGCTTAATGAAAAAGTTCTTAGGGCATTGAGTCGCTCTTTCGAAAGTTTTGATTTGATCAAATTTTAGCATCCCCATTTTCATAAAGCTTCCATTAACTTTTTTTTTTTTTTCTGCATTATTTATTCACAAAATCTTTCATCCATCATTTCCCATCAATTTCAATATTCATTCACAAACTCTTTCATCCATATCGTTCTAGTTCATAGGCCAAACTATGAGATGCATTATATTACAAACATAATCTTCTTTCCTCTATTAAGTTAGTTGATAAAATTTTAAAATGTAAAATAAACAAAAAAATTATTGTTGATAATAACATACATTTATAAGTCTATTTTTTTCTTCCAAAGAAATAAAGTATAAAAACCGCAAGCTATGGAAAATATTACTTGCTCCACTTTTCCAATATTACAATGTTGACAGTATCATTCTATGGTCCCGAATGAAATGAGCATCAAATAAATTTTGCCTCAATATTGGAGACGCCAATTCCGCATCAATTTCTTGGAACAAGAAGTTTTATGCCACATATTATAAGTAGTGAGCTTGATATGTTTGTTACTGGAGACAATAAATTTTGTAGGAATTTCAAGATAAAGCATTATATGGAAAAGCAATTCTTCGGTGTTATCATTCTATTATGCCTCCTCTTTACTCGTCAGTCTTTCTCTTTATTTAAGTAAATATAAATGTAATTATCTTCCCAATTTAATGATACTCCTTAATATAGTGCTTTCCGTTATGTTTTACCTACATAAAAATCACTTTCTTGAAGGTCTAATTCTTAAAATAGAAATAAATTTCAAAGGTGTTCAAAAAAATTCTATATTTAATTAATGCGGCTAAGCTTTACGGGTGTTGTTCTTTGTAATTATCAATTTATGTAATGACAACTTGTTAAATATTCATGGTACTAATTGCAAGTGTGTTTTCTTCAACATGTACGCAGAAGAATTTGTTGTGCACTCGGGGGCAGTTAGAATGTGCAAATCTCGAAGCCGAGAGTACAAAGGAATAATTTTTGCTTGTTTCTAATGCAGAGAAAACAACTAGTCAACTACTTTATGTCTTGGCTATCTTTCTCTCGGGCAATATGGATATGGAACAGTACAGAGAAATAGATTTCCAAAACAAGAGAAGCCTACATAAGTTGAATGTCTTTGTTTTTGACCCAACTAAAATGAAGAGGCATAACAATGAAAGTGTATAAAGCATAGTTCAACACCTTCACCAACTACATATTTGAGCCTAAGTGAATACGAATATAGATTCGGATTAATTAACATTCATCTTCTTTCGTTTGATGATACACAAAGACCAATCTTCACTCCCCTATTGAATGCCACAAAAATCAGTTACTGCTTGAACCGTACACACTCCAGCCTGACAGAAAAGGATATTACATTCTAGCACCATTATATGAAAAATAAATAAGCAATATACTTACTTACAAGGACACTTTTTTTTATCCGCATCAACATATGCCTCGTTGATTAATAGTGGAAGATTCTGCCAAAGAAAGCATATATGGTCCGGTCACAAAAATGCTGCCATATTCAAAGTTAAATTGACATTTCATTATCAGAACTATTAGTAGACAAGACAAACTATTCCGGATTATTAAATAACTGGAGGATAACACAAACCTAAAATCCAAATTCGGAATTCAGTTACATGATCCCTTTAGCTCCTAAGTCATATTTACTGCCTTCCAAAGATTTACAACTAACTACAACAAATCGACATTAATTTAAGGATAAAAGCTCAGAGTTTTGAAGTAATTAGTCACAAGGTTGATTGAAGAAGTTAAAGAGAAGTCAATATCTGGTTTTCAGTAATCAGACTTAACAGTTACTCCACAATACACACAACAATGATGAATGAATTTAGGAATACACACCAGCATCAGGGGCAGGTGGCTGAACTTGTGTGACAATTGCAGCAGAATTATTCAAACCTTCATCCACAGCTTTACTTTTCTTGGAAACCCAATGCAGAAGTTTTTACCAGCTTTCTTGTCTCTAAGTGCAGCTTCCTTCACCTTGTGTTTTCTTCCCTGAATATGATTGTCCAGAGGTCGTTTCCCGGTGCAGTTGATGTGACAAATAGAACAATTCCAATACTCTTTAGGCTTTTTGCCACTTGACACTTGTGACACTGACTTCCTCTTTACTCCCGATTTTTTCTCATCAACCTTGCCCTGGAATTAATAGAAACAATGTTCAATCAAGTTATAGCCGCCTTATAAAAAGATGAAAAACAGGAAAACAAAAATCCATCTCCAATCTCCCTTCGATGAATCACTTGAGTAAGTTAAAGGTTAATATTAGAAACAATGTATGGAGGAAGTTTCACTGTCATCTACACTACACAAAATAACAAAAGAAACAAATGGAAGACCTCCAATAAGGTTGTAATAACAGCAAAATCAGAAAAATGACTAACAAACAAAGTAATCTGAGATAAAGGCATCCAAACTGACCTTAACATTCTGTTTCTCGTGCTTAATCTCTGAAGAAACTCCCAAATCCGCATAACTTACAAATGGTAGTGTTTGAAATCTGACATTACTACAATCTGATGTGACTTCCTTCCCCTTAAGTTCAGACACATTTCCATCAGGCTTGCCCTACAACAATCATAACAATATAAGGTGGTATTACACTTGTCGTGTTTAAGTGATAAAAGAACAAAGTATATCTTAGTTCTCGGGGCTCGTATTTGATCAACTTATGACAGTTATGTTGTTTATACAATTAAGATAACTGAACAAATTAAAATGCAGGACTTATATGTCAACATAGCCTATAGAGAGATGAATTAACACCGTGGAACACAAATATGAAAACAGAGATTTTAACTGAAAGAGATATTCAGTTTTTATCATAAACGAAAAAAAAAAGTCAATAATGTGGTATGTATCATGATCGATACCTATGGGATAAAAAATACTCGATATGTTAGTAATAATCATTACAGAAGTATTAGGTCCAGGAAATGCAAGGGTGAAAAATCGAAAGTTAGGATCTTTGCCCCAACTCAAGTAATATATNTAAATTGCAACTACAACAAAGTATATGTTGCCTTTAGAAGTCAGTAAAAATTTTCATGTCTTGAATGAACAGCATACCTTGAGTTTATAGTTAGTATATATTAACAAAATTGATAGTGCCGATGGAAAAATGTACTGAAAATATACTGTATATAAACATCATACTATGAATAAACACATCAAAACACGAATCATCAGTCACCAGCTTTCTTAACTGAATCCATTGAATTCTCAAATCGCCTGAACATAATAAAATCCCATCGATAATATTACATCAAATTTAATATACTCTGCTTACAAGACACCAGTTCTAGAGATACGAAAAAACCAAATAAATCAAAATCAATCGCATCAACATACAGTTAAACCCAGATTCAATCTTACAGCCATCACACGAACCAAAATATTTACAAATATCGCAGGACATTCTCATTTTCCTCGTTGAGATTGAGGGCCACCACCCTGTCACTGTCGCAATAGACTCCGACGAAATTGCAGGGATCGGCAGTGAAATCCTAGGAGGAGAATTAATTCGAGCCGGGCAGATCGGAGAGCCCTTTCGAATCGATTGGAGAGCGAGAAAATCAATCGGGTCGAGCATCGGCTGCATGAGGAGCAAAAATTGGGCGAAAAGTACGAAAATTGCAGGAAAGCTTCATCGCCGGAAAAAAGAAATATTGGAAAAAAAAAAGGTTGATCAGAAATAAGTTGACTTAAATGTGAATTCTAGTATATGTGCAAATATGTTGAGGGTAATTTTGTATCTTTGCAAATAAATACTAATTAAGTGTAAATATAAAATATATTTGATAGTATGATGTGCAAATTCCTCAATAATAAATTAGTCCACTAAATTTTTATTATTGCACTACTTTTTTCAAAACCAAATTACTATGTTGGAAATTAATCCACCTACAAGGTTTAGATTATTAATAGTGCTCAACAAAAACAAAAACAAATGATTTAAAAAATATACAAACAATCAAAAAATGTGATCCACAATTTTAGTTACGGATCAACAATCTTGAACGAGCGATTTGCCGATTCAAGTTTCCTCCTTGTTCATGTATACTTCAGAGTTACATGATCATGGTATTTTTGCTTGATATTGTTGGATTCATATACAATATCTCTATCTTCGAATCAAAATTTCACAATGTCAAAACAATATTACCGGTGACAAATTTATTTATTTAAAAAGAAAAATGTGAATGACCAAGTTCAGCTTAATCACATCTTAAGGAAGTATTTGCTCCAAACCAATTTGAGAGCTTGTCAGTAAATGTGATCCATTTGTTACTGTGAAGTGTCAAGGTGTGACCGTCGGCAGCCCATTTCCACCGGCCCAGACATTGGCCCTACATTTTTAGCCCAAAAAACGATCTATTGCGCGTTGCGACCCATCTTCTCCAAGGGATTGGTACAAAATGAGTTTTATTGCAATTTGCGACGCATCCGTCAGACCGATTTTCTCGTTTTAACATTTTTAAGTTTTTAACCCATTCACCACGCCAACAATGCTCCGTTCACCCTCCCCCAACGGCGCACCGTTCACCGCCGGCGGCGGCCCTGAGCTCTCATCAAACGACTTCAACCTCTCCGCACTGGAGAACTCTAACCGCTGGCCACCGGTGGCTGAAGGACCACTGCCGAGCTCCGAACAACCACCGGCCGACTCCGACGTCCTTCATGTCTCTCGGCCGCCGCTGAATCCTTGGAGCAAAATATTCCTGCCGCCTCCTCCCGTCGCAGCACAAACCCTAGCCGCGGCTGAGCGAAGGTAAGCGGTTCGAATTTCGCCGTCGCCTTTATTTTCCAGCTGCTTAATTTCTCCTCTCTTTGTTCGTTTGTAGTGAAATCAGCAGGAGGCTTCTCTGGAGTATCACGGCTTCACTCGCTTTCCTTGCTCTGGTCGGTGTTCAGCTCGCGCGGAATGCTCCCCATGGAGAAATTAACCCGTTGAAGCTTCTGAAAGTGGTTACAAGTACCTCATCATACATCTTTATCCTACTCCTGCTGCCGTTCACACACCAGATTCGAAAAATCGAGCTCGGAGTGTTTGTCGGTATCGTGCTCAACTCGCTGGTTTTCTCTGTGCCGATTGGGTTGGCCCTCTACTCGGAGGATGGCTGGGAACTTATCATGGTCAATCTCATTTTCCTCCACATTATGGCTTTGGTTAATTCAGCTGTGGTCTCTATCAAACATTTCGACGTGGCTAATATCATTCTCACAGTTGTCCTGAACCCATTGCTATTTGTCGCCGACAAGCATGAAAAGTTCGGGTTGGCCTTCCGGTTGATATATATGTATTACTTCACTTATTCAAAGGCATGGATCAAGTTTCTTCGGCATTTTGTGGCCAAAATGAAGGTGCCTGAGTTTCCTGAGGTTGTGTGGCGGGTCAGGGATGTGTTGGCTGATGTCTCGGGGGACTACTTGCGTAAGGTATCCGTGTGTGTGCGTGTGAGTTTTGATTTTCTCAGATAAATTTGTGGTATATATGTGGAAATTTGGTTTTCTCATGATTCATGGAGTAGTTTGGGGATTCTTTTTGATACTCTATATATATGGAAGGGTTAACATATGGAGGACTACTTTGCATAAGGTATCCTTGTGTGTGCGACTGCGTTTTGATGTTTCCGGTAAATTTGCATTATATATGTGAAAATTTTGATCTTCTCATGATACATGAAGGAGTTTGGGGAATCATTTTGATGCTCTATATATATGGAGGGGTTAACATGTGGAGGATTGATTGCGTAACGTATCCGTGTATGAGTTTTCTGGGTCTGTTTGTACTTATATATGGACGTGTTATGGCTTGTGGGGCTTATTTTGACGTTCACTCTTGACAAAACCTATATGCAGGGGACTTCATGTATTTACGAGCCATTGCTGAGGTCCTGCGTATCAAAAATCAGTAGCTTGACACAAGAAAAGGGTTCGGGAGGTCAGGGCCCGAGCAAGCAGCTGGCTGAACAGACATTTGTCGGTCCAAGAAGTGATGCTGTTTAAACTGTTGAGGTCTCACGAGAGTTTTCGGTTTGGGATTCTCTCTGGTTTATAGTTGCTTTTGTTATTCCCAGTAGAATGTATGAACTTACTTGACTTGTGAACTCTAGGGTTTGCTTTCTGCACTTGTTAATTTTTCTGTATAAAGTAGGAACTTGACTGGCGATTTCTCGGATTTGCTCCGGTTTGCACTTCATGTTTTCAGTACAATGTTGCGACTTTAACTGCTAATTTCTAGGATTTTCTCTGTTCATATTTAGCTTGTTATTTTCCGGTACAATTAGGAACTTGGCTGGTGATGTTTGCTAAGTGTTTGTTTCAGTGTGCTGCTTCTTTGTGTTTGTTTATGCATT